AAAGCCTTAATATATTTCTTTACAATTACTTTTTTGAGGGAGTGCAGATCTATGTGTTAAGACCTACATACTATATTTGTCCACTGTCATGTAGCCATCTGTTTATTCCAACACATACACACACATGATTATGTGCACACATACTCATTCTTTTAAATGATCAAAATTAAAAGAATACAAAGGGTTATTTGACTAGTCCATGTCTTTCTGTGTATTTTCAATTATAGTAATGTAATTTAAAAAAAAAAATTTTCAGGTCTTAGAGACCTGAAATTAAAACTTCCATTTCCCATCCAACTCAAATCAACCTATTTGTGACCCATGAGAGGTCACAGACTTGGACTGAGAAAGGGAAACATGACATTACCCATGTTCTCTCCTCAGCCTACGTTTAGACTCCCCAGGATTCAAACAAGGGAGAGAGATTAGAGGGAAAGAGACAAACTCTTCTATGACTTCTGATTTTAGTTCTCTATTGACCAATGCATTCACTGGTTGTTAATTGTGTCCTCCATTTTGGAAGGTGTCCAAATATTTACACTGATTGGAATGGATTCTCATTCTGTAGAATCAATACACACCTGTGTGTGTATACAGCCCCCTCCAAATGTACAAACTACATAGACTTTAACCTCTGTCCCTTGTTTCTCTCTAATACAGACATCTTTGGGGTTGACTTCTCTTATTAAATCTTATTTATTATTTATTTATTTATATTTACTGAATGAAAGGCATAGAGACAGAGAAAAAGAAACAGACAGACAGACAAAGATCTTCCATCTTTTGGCTCATTCCCCAAATACCTACAACAGCTGGACTTGGGTCATGCTGAATCCAGGTCTCCCAGGGTGTGCATTAGCAGGAAGCTGGAGTTGGAAATAGTGTGGTGTGGGGAGCAACTGGGAGCAACTCGGACTAGACTAAGTTACTGGAATTAAGACTTATTCTATGCATCTGCTCTCCCACAATATGGCGCTGGGAGAGGAGGAAACAGCTTCTACACAGCTGCCTCCAGTTCAACCAATAAACTGTAGGACCTATTCCTGATTGGAGGAGAGCAGCGTACTCGGCGTGTGGGTAGCAGAGTTGGGATTGGTGGAAGAGGACTATAAAGGAGGAGAGAGACAACATGCACCGAGGAACATCTATCTGAAGGAACACCTGAGCAGCCCCCGAGAGAGCCGGCCGGCGGTATGCCGCTCCCCCGCGGAAGTGGGGAAAGTGGCTAGGGGGAACCGCCCTTCCACGGAGGTGGAAGGGATGGTAGCCAACCCGGGAAGAACCAGCAGCAAACCCGTGGAGGGCCGAGCAGACAAAAGAACAACGCAGGGTCCTGTGTCGTTCCTCCGTGAAGAGGGGGAGCGACAGTGTGGGTCTCAAACACAGGGATTCTGATATGGACATTCCAAGAGTTAGTTTAGCCACTGAGCCAAACACCAGCCCCTGATGACTTCGTAAGATGTTCTTCTCTGTATCAAAATCACTGGCTCAAAACACTTATGCACTTCTTACTGTCCCTCTAGAGTGAGGGCACATCCGTGGCATCACTTAGCTCTCAGGGAACATTTACCTTCTTGCCTCACTAAACAGATGAAGCACAAACTGAGCCTTATGACTAGGCTTTGTTCTTATCTCACTAAATCAAGTGCCTCCAGCCCATTGCCAGCTTTGAGTTTTCTCTGATGGAAAACTAGGCTCCAGGCACCCCAAATTCCAAGAAACAAGCTCTGTGCAGGACTTTCACTTCATTTCTGTCTCATGGCAGCCTCAGCCCAGCAATCCATAGGGCCAGTCTCTCAGGCTGGTGGGAGTCCTACTGCTCCACGGGCATTTCTTTTTGGAGCATTCCAGGAAGGGCTTGGAAAGAAGGGGAATGCTACTGAACTCTTCAAGGCTGACTCTACTTCTCTCACTCAGATGTTCTGGAATCGATTTTTGAACTTTAAACTTAAGTAGGTTAGAGGTGGATGGTGAGGGCTGGTAATTGCTGGTCCAGTTATGCTCTCTTCACTCTGTCCTTCATGGAGAGTTCTAGCATCTCTCTTTAGAATGTGGGTTTATTTATAACCCATTGTTCTCAGTTTTGGGGCTTCAGCCAAATTTCTAAGACAACAGGAAGAGTTCTATTCAAATTCCTGTTTTATATATATATGAATATATGTGAAATATATATATACAACATTGATTTTTAACCTCTTATTAGCCATAGTTTAGTCCTGAGTATTTAAACATAAAATTATATACCTTCTGAAGTATAATATTAATAGCTGTATAAATCATCATATGAAAGTGTCACAGCTTCAGTTTTTTACTTATTTAAAATGTTAAGGGTTTTTTTTGTTTGATTGTAACAATAACACATACTCATTAAAGAAATTTGGAAAAGTGCAAAGAGAATGACAATCATTTGTAATCCCATAAAGTGGAACTACCTACATTTTGGTATATTTCCATCTAGATTTTCTATTCCTGGATAGGTAGAGAAATGGATATAAATATAGTTGTCTCTATCTGTATAATAAATATATCAATATAGAATATATACATATACACAGTTAATTCATTATTACTTTTTTTACTTATTACATTATTACTTTGAATTATTCTATACCTGCATTTAAAAATGAATGGGATTCTTACTATATTTGGTTCAGTGCCCTGTTTTTCACTTCTATTATATTTTGTTTTTTTCTTTACATTTGAAAAAATATTCTAAAAACTTAACCTTTCATTGCCATAATTACAGACAATTTAGGAGATGTAGAGATGTAGATTAACAAAAAAAACCTTTTTTCTATCAGACATTCTATGGATAAAAATGAGGTCACAGCCATATCAATACTCAAATCTCACTGGCAGTTGGACAAAATTCTCTCCTGCAAAATTCTCTCCTTTCCCTGCCACATCCAGTTACTTATGGGCATTCCTACACTGGACTGCCAATCACTTTCACCACTCAGGTATTAGTGGTAGCAGCCATGAGAAGCACTGGTTGGAGATGGGAAGTCTTGAGAGAAAACACCCCCAGAGAATCTGGTGGGTAGGGATATATTGACTGCCAATCACCCTCAGGTACCTGGAGCAAATACTTTCCTCCCAACTGGAAACTTAACGCAATTGGTTGTATGCAACTCCTTTTCTCCTTAGAGTTCCCTCAGGGACCTCACAATTCCTTCAAGAAATCTGAGCTTTGTACTATTATCCCTCCACCTCCTACAGTTTGAGGTTGTTTCTATTTATGTGTTAGTGTGCAATCCACTTGTAAACATTTCAAAACATACACCTTCACAAGAAGTGCCTCGACTCTTGTAATTCATTAGCAGTCATCTGAGGTGGAGTTGACCAGGTAGTACTTGTTTGCATGTACACACACACACACATACACACATACACTTACAATTATTGTTAATTATAATGATATACTTAACTTTTTATACCACAGTTTTCTGGGTGTGTTTATTATGAAATATTTTATGCATTAAGTGCTTTATATATAAAGGGATTTCAAATAGTTCATGGAAATCAAAGTGAAAAGTTAAGTTTATGGGGAAGAAGTTGGGTTTAACAGTTAATATGACAGTTGGGTCACCTGCCTCCCACATCAGAGTACCTTGATTTGAGTCCTGGTTCTGTTCCTGATTCTAGCTTCCTGATAATTCATATCCTGGGAGGCAGAAGTGACGGCTCAAGTAGTTGGTTTTCTGCCACCTACATGACAAACTGGACTGAGTTCTAGGTTTCTGACTTTGGCCTGGCCCAGCCTTGGCTTTTGTAGGCATTTGAGGGATAAAGAAACAGATGATGGTTTCTGTCTCTGTTTCTATCTCTTTGTGTTTTAAATAAATTTTAAGAAGTTTTTAAAAATAAAAAAATAACAAAAAAGAAGTAGAGAAGAATTACTCTCCCCTTGGTTGTGGATTTAACGACTTGCTTCTAGTGGTAGGATGTCACTTCTAATATTAGGCTGTAAAAGACTGCATTTCTGTTTTAAGTGCTCCTTCTCTCTCTCTGGGGAAAACAAAACTGTGAACAGTCCTATGGAGAGATCCACATGGTGAAGGAACAAGGCTTTTTGCATCCTCTTGGGTTTGAAAGAAGATCCTTCAGCTCCAGCCAGGTCTGCAGATGACACAGCCCTGACCAACAGCTCTACTGTAACTTCCTAATAGACCCTGAACCTGATATACCCAGCCAGAGTTCTGACTCAAAGAAACGTGGGGAGAAGAAGTGTTTGTTGTTTTAAGGTAGTTAGTTTGGGGTTAATGTGTTATAGATTAATGGATAACTAACACAGGATATATAGATGACAGATATAATGAATACAAAATTACAAACTCTAGTCTTGTCACTAACATGCATCCAGAGTTCATGGATGGGAAGCAAAACTATTTGACTGCTTGTATTGTGTGTGGGACTTTTTGGAATAGAGGCTTCCCTTCACCCCTCCACACCATCATCCCACACCCACCCACTTCAGTCAGTTAGTTGATCATAGGAAATTCTTTATGATACCTTGGGCAAGAACAGAGGGAGGGATAGACAGTAACAAGACTCCAAAACTCATTTGTGCCTTCAGAACATTATGAGGTCCAGTTCTATATATCCATTTCCATTTGATGATGGAACATTTGGGGGCACACCTAACTTTATAGGCAGATAGATCAATATATCAAACTTATAAGGCGAGGTCCCATGTTCAGTTGTAAATAGTTTCCCAGGACAAGCAGGAGATGCTATTCTGCATAAACAGACACATGAGAAAATGGCAGTGGCTGTGCCCACAAGCTTTAATGATCTGCTGTGGCCATCAAGGAGGGAGGCACCTTTCTCTGAAGGGAGGAAGGAACCCCCACTGTGATATGGCCTTGACTAAACAAGTTCAGAGTTGGTGAACTCAAGGGGCTTCCATAGCCTAGACAGCTCATAGCAAGAGTCTCGGGTGATTGCTGATGTCATAAATAAGAGTGCCAATTGTTAAATCAACAATGGGAGTCACTGAGTACAGGCTCCCGATGTACTCTGTCCTTAATGCATTTTACTATGAAACTTAAAGACAACACTACTAGTCGAACAATACCCTATACCTTGTGCAGTTGTGTGAGTGCAGCCTGTTGAAATCCTTGCTTAGTGTATACTAAGTTGATCTTCTGTATATGAAGGTAATTGAAAATTAAACTTGATGAAAGGTGGGATGGGAGAGGGAGTGGGAGAGGGAGGGACGTGGGAGGGAGGGAGGTTGGGGGGCAGCCACAACAATACAAAAGTTGCACTTTGTAAATTCACTTTTATTAAATAAATAAAAAAAAAACAATCTGCTGTGACTCTCCTACTGAGGTTGGCAATCAATTTAACTACTAGAATACTGGATTTCCTGGGCACATGGGAAAAGTAACAGAGCTGCTTCCAGTATAGCCTGATCAAATAAGAGCCTTTTTTCATCTAGGATCCAACTCATCATTGGCCTCCTTTAAATGTTCAGATGGCTTATTCAGATGTGGTTATACTTATTCTCTTAAACCTCAAATAGCCCCAGCGTTGTCCCCTTCAGAAATGGATGCAAATGATTGTGCCTTATCATTCACTTTGTATGGGAAAGCCCAAGTCTCCCTAAAACGTTTTTTAGAGAAGTGAATATTAGACTTTTCTGATTTTGTGGTTTTATCTCTAATCTAGCACATGCAGATTTTACCTAGGATTCCTACTATTTCCCGATCTTCGCAACCTGTAAGTATATTATTAGAATGAACCAGAATAATGCCTGTGGGATGATGAGACAATCCACTTCTCTGAGGGAACCCAGCTTGTCTCTTATCGAGATGCATAGGATGTGCAATTTTCCAAATATAGGCAGTCTTATGAGAGTGACATATTTCTATTACAGTAAGGAACAATTCCTGTTAGGTCTGAATTTATAATAAGGGAGAATTAACAACTCAAAGCATTTGCTGCTTTGAATGAAGTTAAACCATGCAAGTGCACTTGACAAGAAGGCTATTTTAAAAAGGTCTACATCATTCAAATACAAAACCTAGCACCTGTCTCCTTGTGGCTTTTACCATGCCTTGACCCTACAGAGAAGCTTGTAATTGATGTGGAAAACGGTGAATGTTCTCTTTGCAGACAGATTCAAACTTTCTGCACAATATTAGGCCCCCGTAGTCATTTGTCCTGAGGACGTTATAGACAAAGGGGTTTAGACAAGGGTGGGCAAGGGATACCCTCCACAGCAGAAGCTACCATGCTTCCGATTCTCCATTAATGTTGGAAAGGGGGACAGTGCCAGTATAGTTAACTTCTTGTCTGTGCAGAAGTGGGACAACAGTGCCTGATTTGTCAATTTTTCTGTTCTTTACTTAAACAATCACTGCTTACATTTCCCTGTTTATTCACCAAATCCTGTGTCCTTTTTCTCAATTGCCCTACACAGTTATTTGAAAGTTTGCTATTTTCCTTCACTCACATTTCCCTGGCTGAAGACAATCCAAGAGCGATACCACCATCCAATGATGGAAAAATAATACTTGCGTTATGCCATATTTAAAACATTTTAAATTATAATTGCTGTGGGTTGGGAAGTTAGAACTGAATACTATAGGCTAGGGCACTTAAACAACACACATTTATTTCTCACAGTTCTGGAGGCTTGGGGAGAGCAGGATCTCTAGCAGCTCCAGTATCTGGTAAGGACCCTCTTTCTGCTTTGCAGACAACTACTTTTCACTGAATCCTCACATAGGTCAGAGACAAAGAGACAAATATGGAAGGGGAAGGAAAGAGGCAGACGGAGAGAAAGTTCTTTCATGCTTCCTCTCATCAAGGTGCTAATCCCATTCATGGGGCTCTACCTCATCATCCAATTACCAAGCTAAGACTCCAACTCTAGATGGGATCACGTTGGGAATAGGGTTTCAGCATGATGGGGACATAAGCATTTGGTCATAGCACTAATTTACAGAAAATGTTATTGCAAGACACATTTCAAGTTCTGAGGAGTATCTGACATGACTGTTAGATCACTTTATACTAATCTTATAGATGCATACCTATGCAAGTTCATGGTTATTTAGGATAAGTTCATTTAAAAGAAGATTTTATTTATTTATTTGAGAGGTAGAGTTACAGACAATGAGAGGGAGACAGAGAGAAAGGTCTTCCATCTCCTGGTTCACTCCCCAGTGGCCGGAGCTGGGCAGATCCAAAGCCGGGAGCCAGAAACTTCCCCCAGATCTCCCCCATGGGTTCAGGGGCCCAAGCACTTCGACCATCTTCTACTGCTTTCCTAAGTCATGTAAAGAGATGGATCAGAAGAGGAGCATCTGGGGTGGGTCAGAACCAGAGACCATATGGGATGCTGAGGCCACAGGAGGAGGATTAACCTACTGTGCCACAACACTGGCCCCTAGGATAAGTTCTTGCAAGTGAAATTATTGGGTCTAAATTTGTTTCCAAGAAGAATTGTTTATCACCTCACCAATAGTGCATGAGGAACCTATTTGTTTATAACTTTGCTAGCCTTAGATATTATAGATAAACAGAATTTCAGTTAATTTAGGATAAAAGATGTAACTTCTTTATTTTTAAAATGTATACTTCTTTCATTAATCATGAAATCATTTTTATAGGTATCATAACAAATTTTGCTGTTTAAATTGAAATTTTTGTTTTTGTCTTTTTAATGATTTCTAAGAATACTTTATATATTTAAAAATATTAAATCATTTCTTGTCATTTACATTTAATATACTTTCTTCAGTTTTTAATGTGGCTTTTTTTAGAAAAATATTGGCTTCAAATATATGCATAACTATATCCATATTGTTGCTATTTGTTTTGGTCTGGTTGAGCTAATGCATTCTTAGAAAGTCTGTGTCTTTGCTAAATGTGTGTAAAATGCCCCATATAATTTTTTATGAAGCATTTCATTTCATTATTTTAATAAATCCTTATCAATCTATAATGTGTCCTGAGGATAGCAATAAATTTTTTCCCCAAATTGTAAGTTAATTTTCCTGGCTTCATTTATTAAATAAATTGTCCTTGCTCTACTCATTTAAGACACCATTTTATCCCATTCTGAATGCTTATGTATGCTAATACTTGACCTGTTTGTAGGAATATTTTTTTCTGTTTGACTTGACTCTGTTTCTGTACAGTTTGATTATTGTAGATTTTTAAAACAATTTACATACACATTCCACTCAATTCTTACTTTGACTTTACTATTTAATTAGTGAGAATATTTTGTTTTTGATCAATGTTATTTCCTAAAATGACTCAATTTATTCAAACTTGAACTGGAGCTTTAATCCTAATATATTGCTATAAATCAGTTTTGAAATGGCATTATATTCCTATTTTAAATATTATTTATGATATGTATGTCAAGGCACTATCTTGCCCCATATATCACATATTCTATATTCTCTGGGTCTTTTTTTTTTTATTCCTTTCTTAGTGGAGTCAAATTAGACATGGAATCATTTTACTCTCCAAAGAATTCATCAGTAATATGTTTATATGCTCCTACATAGACACACACATAAACACACATAGGTATGTATAGCTAAAGCTCTGTTATATTGCTAGTATATAAACTCTACATCTTAGCTGGATATAGATTTTGAGGATGGAAACATAACATTTTTTTCTTTAAAAAATCAAAACGTGTGACTTCTTAATATAATTCTTAATTTTGGTTCATTATTTCATTTTGTTCTAGTACACCATTTATTTTATGCTACAAGTGATTGCTTTGCTCAACCTATTGATTTTCTTAGATTATCTTTTTTTACATTTATGTAGAATTATATTTTGATATTTGTCCCTGAGGATTAATCTGAGACTTTCAAAAAATTTTGAGCATCTTTTATGTCTATATATCTGTTCTTGTCTTTACAATTCAAAGCTCTCTCGAGTGTTTAAGTAATTCTCCCCATTCACTGCAGTTTCCTGCAATGTCCAGCACAGTTGCAGTGCCCCTTAGCCAGTGTGCTTGCTCCTCAGTTTCACAGTCTCTTCAGTGCTGTTCTTTGTATTTTCTTCTGTTTTAATCTTTGTTTTTTCTCAGATTTTTCATTTTGGAATCACTGAATTTTGGATTATCTCTTCAGGTTGGTGCACCTCGTCATGTATGTGGTTTCTCTTCTTTGTACTCTGTACTGGTTTGAATGCAAATTTAAATTTTTACATTGATATGCTAATTTCTCAAAACATTGCCCCTCAAGACTTATGCCTGGATCTCCTCCCCCCTCTTCCTGCTCTCATGCTCTCATCTTCATTTCAGTTGATACCAGATCATTCCATTTGTTTCTCTACTTTAATAGACAGTATGCTTTCAGGGAATTTCTGCTAACATGAAGTGACGCTTCCTTTCAAGTCTGGGGCACTTTGAATGTATCTTTTCTTTCATTCTTATGTAGAATCCCTTCAAGTTTCCTGTTGTTAATATTTTTAATTTATATTATTATATTGATTAATTTATTCTCAAACAAAAGAGATTAATTCAAGCCCCATGTTCATCATTAACCCACTTAGCTAGCTGTGATTTATTAACAGTGCAGCCAGCACGGCTGCCATGGCTCACTTGGTTAATCCTCCGCCTGCAGCGCTGGCATCCCATATGGGTGCCGGGTTCTAGTCCTGGCTGCTCCTCTTCCAGTCCAGCTCTCTGCTGTGGGCTGGGAAAGTGGTGGAGGATGGCCCAGCTGCTTGGGTAACTGCATGGGAGACTGCGAAGAAGCTCCTGGCTCCTGGCTTCGGATCTGGCTTTGGATCGGTACAGCTCTGGCTGTTGCAGCCACTTGGGAGTGAACCAACAAAAGGAAGACCTTTCTCTCTCTCTCTCTCTCTCTCTCACTGTAACTCTACCTGTCAAATAAAAAAATAAACAAAAAACAGTGCAGCCAGCTTGAGCTTGACTAGGGATAGTAAAGTTTATTAAAGTGTGTTCAAAGAGACAAACAGGGCAGTAGAGAGAAAACATGGTGCTCTTTCTTCCTGGTTTGGCTCTTATCCCTGAAGTATGAGGGTATGAGGGACATTGACCACTGGAGAAGCTCTGATGCTCATGATCGGCATTTAATAGCATTGACCTCTTGGAGTTGCATCCCTTTGGGCTGTCTGCACGCTTGACTATAGACTAGACTTTGCTGGTTTGGCTGAGCTTGTATTTCATCAGAACACTTTAACCACAAGTTAAACCGTGAAGTGGGTAGTCATAAGTAGGTCTGGGGGAAGAGCAGTGTCCCTGGTCCCTCCCCTGGAGGAGGAGCTTATGGTCCTTCCCCCAGTGACTTATGTCTAGGTTTCTGCCTATTAAACGTCTCTTGTTGGATCTTAAGCTAATATTTGGATGATGTGAATTATTAGCTGATTTAGGTGGGTTGTGGTGACACAGGAAGCTGTTAGATCTACTAAACTGTAATTTACTCTTTACACTAAATGTAAGGAGATAAATTTTTTTCTGAATACTTTGAAGCATTGTAGCTTGGGACTTCAAAATTTCATAGAAAATAAAATTAAAACATAAGTTCATTTTGGTACAAAATTTATTTGAAATGCATGAGTAGTTTTTATATACTATACACTTTTCTATAAACTTTTTGTTTGAAGTCAGCTGTATACTTCGTACTGTGCTAAAGACAGTAGGTTTAAAACTCCAATCCTCTGAATGCTGTTAGAGTTTTTATTGTCTGTGGCTGTTATACTTCTAATTGTATATCCCACTGGCCCACTACCCCATCACTTTAAATTTGACAACTGGTATCCATTACTGAAACTGTTGTTAATTATTAGAAGAGAAGGGAGACAGAACTACTCTAAGAGAGACATGAACAGAAGTTGTGATTTTCTAGGATGCTAGTGAGGAATTTGATGCACACATGGATTAATATTCACTGACCATGATATACCCCAAGGCATTATTGTTACAAATTTGCCTCTGTGTGGTTCTGAGGGTGGAGACAGTATTATTGGAAGATAGAACTTGTGGGTTCTGGGAAGAGAGACTATCATGGGCCTGGTAACTGTAATAAGATCCTAGGAATGGCCAGAATATAGGGGCGATATAGAAGGGCGGGGGAGATGAGCCCGCGTCAAGAGATTGCTCACTAACTGTGTGCACCTGAATGTGGAGTTTAACCTTATCTTGATAGAGGCATTCAAAGGTTTAAAGCAGGTGTGTGACAGATATGGTTGATGGAAAGACCTCTTTGTTAATATTTGATTGGAGCAGGAATAGAATATTTGGGGGAGACCATATAGGAAGTCATTTTAGTTGTTTAAACAAGAAAAAGGGAATAACCTGAACTAACAGAGCCAGATCTGAAATGGAGTGGGGCACGTTGATTCCAGAAATAGTTAGAAAGGAAAACAAAAAGAAAAACAATGAAAAAAACCTTTGTGATTAGAATAAAGGGCAAAGGCAATAGAAGACATAAAACTGCTGAGTCAGTGATTGTTCTCTCTCTCTCTCTCTCTCTCTCTCTCACACACACACACACACACACACACCCACTGGGAATGGAGTGACAATGACCAAATCAATTTGGGGATTTCATTAGTAATTTCATGTAGACAATTGTCTACATAAGTGATGATCATCTTAACTTTAGTAGAGAAAAAAAAAAAAAAACAAGAAATGTTTGCAAGGACAGAATAAACCAAATTTTTAGAAACCATTCATTGCCTATTTGAACTACTTGGGTTATGATATATTGTTGCTAAGGCCAACCAAGGGGGACAAATTAACTACCAAGATCATCATTTAAATCAGGCAGTAGCTGGCAGCATGGTGGAGTGAGAAAGCCTTAGCTTCAAAAGAAAGGAAATTAATATCCTTGAATGGATTTTACCCACTAACAGCAGGATTTGGGGCAAAGGACTAAGTTATTTGGTTCCATAGTTCTCTATTTGCAAAAGATAGATACTACACAGGGTCTTAAAATTTGAACTAGATTGATGATGTGAAACTAGATTCCATATGCTAATTTCACATCAGGAAGGATGAGAAGCAAAAATACTCAATATTTTTGGGAGCTGAAAATTTGGGACAATAAGTTTTCTACTGGACTACTCTATGATATCAATAAGACTAGTATTTTGTCCTTTAAAGCCACCTTTTGTCAAAGAATATATTTCATTCAATTTTTCTATATAATAGTTTGGCTTCTAGAGCATTGTAAATGTAAATCCTGACACATTATGAATAAAATAAAGCTAAATGGCAATATTTAGAGCCAGAGAGGATATTTTTTGCAATCAATTTTTTAATTAGCATTTTTCTTTTATTAAAAATACAAGAAGAGAGAAAGAAAATAGTTTTGCATTCAATATTAATCTGATTTTCTACTCTTGGCTATGATTACATCATAAATATCACAGCCAAATTTCTTGCAGAACTAAATACAGAGCATTTCATATTCTTTCAAACAAGTTCACATAATTAAGAAAGTGTTTTTTTAAAATGAAATAGAATTATCTCGTTTACTCTGCAGTATTTACATATGTCTTTCATGAAGAGCTATTTGGCAGTAAATCTTAACTGTTCTTTAAAT